CACATATACTTTAATTAAAAACTGTCCCTGAGGTACTGTACTTACAAGCTCTAAATGGGGGCAGTTTAGGGATTTTGTAACCATTTTTTAAGCTCTTTTTCTTTCACAGTTAACAGGTAACCAATAATTAAGAAGTGTACAACATCCGCTTTTTTAGAAACACCAATGATTCGGCTTTATGTGCGAAAGTTTGCCCAACTTTAATCACACCTTTTAACATTACTTGATAACAACTGTTTAGGAACGGGAGAAATCTCTTATTAAATTGCTGATATGTCATGTTGGATCATGTTGACTCTATGTTTTTGTCTTCCTCTCTCCTTCAGCCTGTCGGCCAGCACTCTGTCCTGTTCGTCCGGCAGCAGTCGAGGCTCTCTGACGTCCAGCCGCGGCTCGCTAGCCACCACCTCTAGCCTGGGCTCCACCTCCTCCCTCAGCTTCACCGACCTCTACCTGGAGCAGCCCGAGCTGGCTGACCCGGACTTCCAGAACAAGCTGGACAGCCTCCTGCAGGAGGGCGGCCAGGGAGGTTACCGCCCCTCCAGCTCCATCACCACCATACATGAACACGAAGTGGTGACGGGTTGTGGAGGGAAAGACGCTGGGAGGCCTGAGGGCAAAGCAGGCAGGGTGGGAGGAGACACGGGTTGTTCTGCTGGAGGGGGTGCAGGTGTTGGCGGTGGTAGTGGAGTGGAGTCGGGGTCATCCAGGATCCAGGCGCTTAGACTGTCAGAAACCCCTCGCTCCATGAGCTCTTTATCTCCACGATCGTCCCTTTCCTCATTGTCTCCGCCGTGCTCGCCGCTGGTCACAGACACTAGTTTCCTGTCTGGAGAGACATTCGCAGGCCAGACGGGGCCTGGCGGGTTGAGCTTGGACCTGGAGCTCCACAGTAGGTTAGCAGAACTGGAACTCAGCCTGGACTCTCAGGAGCAGCGGCAGGAAGAGCACGAAGGTCCTAGGGGGCTGGAGGAGAAACAGGATCACAACACCACGCTGGGCGAAGAGGTCAAAGGTAAACGGGAAGCTTTTGATCGTTTATTCTGTGTCATCGTCATTCAAAATGTTCACACACTCAAACTCATAATCTTCACAACAGAAAGGCCAGTTCCTGGAGTAGAATAACGGTCAAGAGAGGCTGAAAAAAGTGGACGGAGACAGAGAGAGATGAGCTGGAACAAAGTTTTTAGGTCAAGAGTCAAACAGGGAACGCTGTCATTGCTACACAAAGGCAGCGAGGATGCCAAAGCCCGTCAGTCAGAAACCACAGGCATTAATCTGCTGATAGAACAGCCTCCACTCTTCTGGTTTGAGTCTTTCCATTAGATTTTGGTACCTGGCTGCACGGATTTGCTTCCATTCAGCCACATGAGCATTAGTGAGGCCCAACACTAATGTTGGCTGATAAGGCCCACAGCCAGCGCTCCAGTTGATC